AGCAACAAGGAGGAGAACTATAGCAGTTAATCTGTGGCCACTGAGGCCAGACTTTATTTAAGAAGCTGACCAGACTGGGCAGCTTCTACCTAAGAGCTTTAAAAATGCTTCATGAGGAAGCTGTGGGGTTGGTCGTTTTTAAATACCCTTGGAATGCAGAAAAATCCCTGGAGACTTGAACAACACTAGTTCTTTTTGAGCTAAAACCAATATTGCCTTAATGAGAGTAAATGAAATTATTATATATATTACATTATTATTATTATATAATATAGAAACTATAGTCTACTCAAATTCAATGAGGAATAGAAGAGTTGAAAAGTTTTACTGTCTTGGATTAATTGTTTTTTTTTTTTGTAATGCCTGCTGTTACTGGTTGAAAAGGGGATTGACAAGTGGAAATACAGAAGGCAAAAGGAAATACTAATACTTTTCAGTATTAKCTCTCAAAGTGTTGTTGGGATTGCTCATTAAAGCAGCAGGACATAACTAGGGTGGGATAGTATGTTCTGCATGTATGTACAATCAGTATTGCATGAAAAGCTTTCTTTCAGGAATTTTACTTCTAGTCATAAAAATGCTTTTTAAACTAACAGCTTTCTTCTGCTCAGTAGGATGTGATTTGTTGGATGTGTATGTTGACCTGGAACCAACAAGGAGATGACTAAGTAGGAGGAAAATGGTTTTAACATGCCTCTGCTTTGCCAAGGAATATGGAAACAATAACAGATTTGTCAAGTCTGTGGGTCAGCTAGCCTTGTAGTGATATATGATATTTCTCTGTGCATTACATACTTGGTGTATGGAGCTGTTTTTTTTCTGAAGCACCATTGTGCTTTACAAGTGTGACTCTTTGTCCCAGCTGCTGTTTGTCACCTCCTGGTCATGCTGTTTACTGACCAGATGTATTGGAGTAGGTGGGAGATGTGGCTTCTCTTCATGGTGGCAGCCACAGAGGAGTTCTGTGATCCCCTGGTTCTTTTGTGGATTTGTGGTCAGGGCTGTGCATTGTTTGTTACTTGCCAAAGCCCTGCTGGTGCATGCCTGGAGCCCTGGCAGGGCTGTGCAGTGTTTGGCACTTGCCAAAGCCCTGCTGGTGCATGCCCTGCAGCCCTGGCAGGGCTGTGCAGTGTTTGGCACTTGCCAAAGCCCTGCTGGTGCATGCCCTGGAGCCCTGGCAGGGCTGTGCAGTGTTTGGCACTTGCCAAAGCCCTGCTGGTGCATGCCCTGGAGCCCTGGCAGGGCTGTGCAGTGTTTGGCACTTGCCAAAGCCCTGCTGGTGCATGCCCTGGAGCTCACCACGAGGGTCTCCTCTGTCCAGTGTCCCTGGGCTGTGCTGGATCCCCCGTGTTCCAAGCAGCCTCTTGCCGAGGCTCCAGACAGCACACAGAGGATTCCTGCTGTGCTTCCTTCTTTGGAAGAGAACCAGCAGYTTGAAAAATGAGTATTCCATTTAATAAGAAATGAAAGCTCTCRATGCTGTTTTCTTTTCATTTAAGGGCAGATCTGTGCTCTTGGGGGGTCTGAGAGTAATAATCCCACAGAAGAAATCACAGGAACATAATTTCCTCAGTGAAGAAGAGGTGGTACTCCAGTGGCTGCTCACTCTGAGATGTGCTGGTGGCCAGGTTCAAATTTGGGTGTTTCAGGAGCGAGCCCAAAGCACTCAGTGACCTCTGTCTCTCCCCTTTTTGGCACTTGTAGGAGTGACCTAATAAATATGTTATTGCAACAGATGTGATCTCATATCCTCTTACAAAGCACATGTAGACTGGTCACTGAGGGATGGCCCTGCTTAGTGGAGAGGTCAGAATGTGGGACAAGGCGTTAAGAAGGAAATAATGATTTTCAGGAGGAGAGATTTTTAACAATACATTATATTATTATAATAGAAATAGGGTTTGCTAAAAAATAAAATGCAGTGAATTAATTAAATCACAGAATGTTTTGGTTGGAGGCTCCTTTGAAGATCATCTAGCCAACCCCTCTGTTATGGGCAGAGACATCTTTCACTGTCTTTCACTGATGAGGTTGCTCAAAGCCCCATCCAGCCTTACCTTGAACACTTTCAGAGATGGGGCATCCAACTTCCCACCACCYTCATTGTAAACATGTTTTCCTTAAGTCCAATTTAAATTTCTTCTGGTTTACAACTGTTGTCCCTTGTCCTGTCACTTCCAGGCCCTGGTAAAAATCTCTCTGTCTTTTTCAACAAGCCCTTTTAAATACTGAAAGGCCATGATAATGTCTCCCTGAAGGTTCCTGTTTTTCAGGCTGAACAGCCCCAACTCTCTGTGTTCCCAGAGAGGAGTTCCAGCCCTCTGAGCATTTTTGTGTCCCYACTGTGGCCTCGYTCCATCAGAGCCATGTCTGACTTGTTCTGGGACCCCAGAGCTGGATGCAGTGCCCCAGGGGGGATCTCACCTGAGTGGGGCAGAGGGAAATGCCTGAAAGAAATGTTAATATTCATACCATGGTTAGTAAGTGGTTACAGTGAGCAGCAAAAGATGGTGGATTGACTTTCTGACATTGGGAATTGCTTCCAGGCTGCATGGCCTTTTTTTTGGCTGTTGTTTACTGTACATTTTCCTTTCTGGCATGTTGAAAATAAGCTAAATCGTTCTCTAGCATTGCCAGCATTACCCCAGAGGTCTGTGGAGAAGCTGATTCCTTTGGTTTCTCCCTACTGCATCACCCAGAATAATACCAWGGTCTATCTTTAAACAGCATATGATGTTTGTTTTTTATCCCTAGTCCAAACATTTGTACTGGATTGTATTTCCCCCTCTGCCTTCTTATGAAGGAATTCCAGCTCAATAGGGAATGTCTCCTTCACTTGAGCTTGTGTTTTTCTGGATAGGAAATTAGAGGCTTAGGTTTATTAATTTTTAGCATTATGTAACCTGTACAAGGCTGTAAGTACATGAGTTTAAGTAGCATGTTCTTTATTAGCTCATTTTACAGTCCTTGGCCTGTTCCACTTCAAAATTCTCATAAGCAGCATCAGTTGGCCAAAATACATACTTAATGTTAATTAAATCTCTTAAACAGTGTCTAATTTTCATCTTCCTCTTGAAGTTGGTGAGAGATTAGTAATAAAAGAAAATTAGTGGGCTGATAGCATCATGTATTTGATCAGTGCAGAGACAGGGTAAGTGCCTCAGGTGTGTGGTGAACTCTTCATTCCTGTGTGAACATTCAGCATATTAAAAGTTGACAACATTATCTGAACATTCGTCCTGACAAGATAAATGCTGTAAAAGATCACAGTTCATCAATTGAGRAAGTACTACATCAAACATAAACAATTTTTAAGTCTTTCTTGCTTCCATGGGTTTGTTCCCGTCACAGTTTTGTACTTTACCTGAAAGTAGATTTCAAAGATCTGCAACTGATATTGATGAACCTAAGGTTTTGTTGGAGATTATTCCCTCCGAAATAGAAAAAATAATTTGTTTCTAATGCAAGGTTTTGTGACTGAATGGTTTTGTTTCCTGATCTCTTRACTGAGGCAGCACAATTGTAGTGGACAAACCAGTAAAAAAAATTACCTTTTTTTAAATCTCTTACAATGAGGATTTGTGTGGAGAGGAATTGAGAGCATCTTCGGAGAGTAAGATGTTGAGTGTGGAGGAAATGTAAACTTACTTCTTCATATCTAATGAAGTTACTGTCCCAGTTTTGATTTCATTTTGGTCTGCAAATGTTWTCAGAGAGGTTTAACTTGCTCWTATTCATAACATACTTCTGACTTGKGTCTTGGTTCCATCTTGTTCTTGTGCTTTAGCAAGAACTCAATGTCAGTTGTAGCTTCCAATAGGCATGGGGACCATTCAGAATAGTTTCCATTTCCCACTGAGGTACATTCTTTTTCCAATCCAAATAACTGGCATKTATTACTTTTTAATTGCTTAGTGTGATACTTGCTTACATTTGCTGATTTAATGTCTTTTCCTTTCTGTAAAATGAGAGTCCCAAAGGGCACATGCATGCAGTCCCTGAATTCAGTTTACATAGCTTGGTGGATGTTTTGGGAAAAACATCTCGTGTGTATGTGCAGTTTGTCACAGATGGAGTCCCAACAAGAAAAAGATTGTGCTGAAGGAAAATGGAATTAAAGAAAGTAAATGAAATAGCAAAAAAATGACGGCCTGAGCGCTTCGGGTCATTTTTTCCAGCTGCTGTGGGGAAGGCGTTCAGGGTGGTACACACGTGCTTGAGCACAGCAAACATTCTCAAGTTGCACTATGGAGGCAACAAACAATGGGCCGGAGAAATTTCTCTGGGTAATTTTGCTCCTCTGGATATTATCAGTGTCCCACTTTTAAGTCCAATGTTTTTTTGGTTTTTTTTTTTTGCAAACTTTTTGTGAAGTCTGGTCAAGTGAGTAGGTAAGGATCTGAATTCCATATTAAAGAAACAAAAAGAGGTATATTGCTGGTGTTTGAGAGTGTAAAGAAAAGCCTTACAAGGTAAAAGAGTTCTGAAGCTTTAAAAAAGGCAAGGGAGGCAAAATGTGGGCATTCCACCCCTAATAATTTAAGATGGACCGTTTGTTCATTCAGAGTAAGTTTGTTTTAGGGGACCAGTGGATTTTTAGAGCTCTGGTCTTGGCAGTGTGAGCCTGGTGAAAATAGTATGAGTCCAGTGTCCTTCTGGGAATGCAGATCTCAACTCCTTCCTCTTGTGGCATACATAAATTAGGAGAGGGCTCATTGTTATCCATTTAGGATTGCTTGTGGAGAAGGAAAAGCAGGACTCACATATCGCTGAAAACGGAGATGTGTGTTATGGACCTGCATTTACAGTCTGTTTGGGTTCTGTCAGGGAAGGCCGAGCCCTATGGCAAACTGTTCTGTGCACTGCTAGAAACTCCAAACATCCTTATATGTTTCTGAATTAGCTTTTCCTCACCCCTAATCAATCTTTCCTGCTGCGTTTGTTCTGCTGTCTCTCAGATGAACACTCAGATTAATTGCACATCTCCCTTCGCCTTGCAGGGCTCCTGAGCGGGCAGACATCCCCGACCAACGCCAAGCTGGAGAAGCTGGATCCGCAGCAGGTGCTGCAGCTGTGCCTGCGCTACCAGGACCACCTGCACCAGTGCGCCGAGGCCGTGGCCTTCGACCAGAACGCACTGGTCAAGCGCATCAAGGAGGTGCGGGGCGCCGAGGGGCCGGGGCCGCGGGCTGGGGCCGGTTTGGGGAGCGCCTGGGGCGGCCTCTGGGGCAGCCTGTGCCCGGAGGAGCTGCCCTGCAGCAGCCTGTGCCAGGAGGAGCAGCCCTGCGGCTGTGCCCTGCACGCCAGGGCACCGGGGTTCCGCTGCGGCCGCTGCCAGGCTGTGTGCTTGCTGGCTGTGCCGGAGGAAGACCAGCCATGGACGGCTGAGGGGGTCTGGTCCCGGGTGGCTGAGGGGGCTCGAGCGGCTGAGGGGTTCCGAGTGGCTGAGGGGGTCCTGCCCCGAGCGGCTGAGGAGGTCCGAGCGGCTGAGGGGATCCGAGTGGCTGAAGGGGTCCAGCCCAAAGCTGCTGAAGGGGTCCGAGTGGCTGAGGGGACCCGGCCCCGAGCAGCTGAAGGGGTCCTACCCCGAGCGGCTGAGGGGTCCCGGCCCAGAGCGGCTGAGGGGGCCCGAGTGGCTGAGGGGATCCTGCCCCGAGTGGCTGAAGGGGTCCGAGTGGCTGAGGGGGTTCGGCCCAGAGCGGCTGAGGGGTCCCAGCCCAGAGTGGCTGAGGGGATCCTACCCCGAGCGGCTGAGGGGCCCTGGCCGTGAACGCATCTCCTCTTCTCTCCTGCCGCAGCAGTGMTGCAAGCAACGCTCGGAGGAATGAAAGATTACTGACTTATTTAAAGGTAGCACTCCTTATGTAGCTCTGTATAGCATGCATTTTATTATGCCCTGTGGTTAGGCTCTAATTTAAGGAAAGAAGCAGTTATCTTGGCATCTTCTGTGGCTGGAGGAGGCCGTGCTTCAGTGGATTTGTAGAGCTAGACTTGTTTTCAAAGTCTGTAATATGTCATCTCGCTTCTGACCTCTGTGGCAAAAAAGTCTCCTGTGCTGCTGGTGTTACCACTAAACCATCATTTGGAAACCACTGTTCTGTTTAAATGTTGAATGATATTGTTTGGGATTAAATTAATTCCTGGGATGAGCATSCTGCAGTTGGATTGTCTTTCTCATGTGTGACTACTGATGTTGGAAGCAGTAGAATGGCTGCCAGATTTATTTTTTTTTCCGAAGTCGGGACAGATTGGCATGAGAAGGAAATGTTGCTTGAGGTGTTCSCTCAGATACTCCCAGATGTGTAGAAGAGCTGGTGAATGCTACATATGTCAAAGGTCCTTGAGACTAAATACGTTTTCAGCGTCAAAAAAAAAAACGTTTTGAGCACGTGGTTAATTTTTATTCACGCAGTRTAAACGCTGACCTTGATTTGTTGTGACTCTATTGGCTTGGAGTTAAGAAAATCCCACATGACAAACTGGGTAATAAATTTGATTCATGGGCTGTTTTGAAAAGCTGCTGTCATCATGAAGTTGTAAGTCCAGAATAATGTGGGAAGCATTAAAAAGGCCTTTTTACTTTGGTGTATCAAGATCTGAGGCCAGCTATTACACAAGATGTAAAGATATTTGCAGATGTTGGTGACTCAGATCACACAATCTCAGAAATGGGATTTAATTGCCAGCCTAATGACAGTGTACTGCATTAATCCAAGCAGTTTGTAATTCATTTGGCTGTTAAAATGTAAGAGGGAATAGTGACATGATTTAAAGTCATGGTAGACACTGCCAGTACAATCTTCGTTATTTGGGTTTGCCTTCTGTAGGGCAAGTGGCAGAATTCCTTTCAATTTCACCAAGCTGCGGTGGTTTGTTTCTGGTTCATAAGGCTTGTGATTATCTTTCATCTAAAATAAATTAAACTATGATACTGATATTTTCACTAGCTTCTTTATAACAGACTCCTCTGACGAAGTGATGGAGAAATGAGCAATTCTGTAAGTCAGGGAACTGACAAGTCAGCTGTGGTTTGGTTTTTTGTTTTTTTTTTTGGTCACAACGTTTAAGTAACTTCAGATGCCTTCAGTCCCCTCTGCCAGATATGGTGGGTTTTTACTGTTCATTTCCCTAGTAATTTTTAAATGTTTTTCTTGCTTTTGCTGTTCTGCATGTGTGTTCTGGAGGAGCTGGGTGGGACCCACTGGGCTTAAATCATTCTTTCCAAATTGTTTGGGCTCTCCTTGATGCACTAAATTGATCCACTGCTGACGGTTGCTGACAACACGGGGTGCAGCTGAACCAGAGCAGGGGATGTCTCTTCTTACAAGTGCAGACAAAGGAAATCGCCTTCGGCTGCACCCATTTATCAACAATGATTTAGTTTTGCCATGTATACAAAGCTCCGACCCTTAGTAAAGTGTAAAAATGAAAGAGAAAATGAAGTGTATTGTGACAAGCGTAATGTGTACATGAGCTGGGACAGTAAATTCTTTCATCCTCATTTTGGTAGCGGGTATTTCCCTTTCCCTTTCTTTAACACTCTAAGTACTGAAGTAGTTTTTTTCTGATAACAGACTTAGCAGGTGACTGATGTTTTTAACTTTAYACAAATGTTGGTGAGCTTCAGTCTCTGATTTCCTACCATTTGTTTGAGGTATGTTCACTTCTCAGACTGTCACTAACTGTACTCAGTGAGTAGTAGTCGTGCTGTATAAYGTGCTACACTCCTACTGCCTGCAGCCAGGATTTTTTTTTTTTAGTCTTTCCTTGACAAAATGTCCCAGGGCAAATCTCTTTTGTTCATTGTCTGTGTCGCCAGGAAAGAAGTTTCCTGGATTCTGTCAAAACTCAGAAGTACTGCTGTAAATTAATTGGTCCTCAATAACTCAGAATTCATTGTGGTGGTTTATAAATCAGCACAGAGTCTGAATTTAAACAGTTCTTAATAGGAAAGAGAATAAGCTGAAGAAAAAGCCCTGCTTGCATGACAGTGGTGACTGCAGGTGTGAGCAGACCCATCTGTGTGTTCTGTACCTTCAGGGAGCAGARCAGTCTAGCTTTGCTCTCCATCCCATTTCTCACTTCAGCCAGGATTTCTCCTCTGTGTTGGCTGGGTCCATAGCTGATCCTAAATGTAGAACCTGTGCAGCTTCCAGGTGGTTCTGACTTTTCTCTCTCAAGAAGAAACACAATTATCCAAGGGTTTCCTTGAAGGGGACAGAACTGATTGACAGTGGTTGACTCAGGTGCCTTTTTTCAGCAGTTACTCAAGCCAGATGAGTTTTGGTTTTGGGAAGGGAGTGATTTCCATATGACAAAGGGTTTTGTCTTCWCTGTCAAGAATTAAAAAAAAGGAGGATGTGCCTGTACCTTTTTAGGGAAAATACTATAGATTTGCATTGTGACTCATTGGAAGTTTTGAGGAGCTCCAGCTGCTGTGTGGGTTTGGCAGAGCCACATGTGCTCCCTTCACCAGGAGTGTCTGCCCTGATTTGCAACACACAGGGTTTCTAACAAGATTAGTTTGAAGGCAAGTGTTGACCAGCACTAATGGTATGACTGGGGGAAAAGCAGCAAATTAAATGTGGAGAGGACTACTTTCCATTAAATCCTTATCAGTGGAGGATATCTGTTTTGGGTGCCAAGGAGAGAATTTCCAGAGTCATGAGATAGGGGATGGGAAAAAACAGAATAGGTAAAAGCTGGGGAAAAGAGCTGAATTTTCAGAAAGGGCCCATGATTTTGTGTGCCCTCAAAATAGTGTAGTTTCAAYCCTTTAAAAAGGATTGTTCTGTGCACAAGGTACTAAGCTCCTCAAAAATCACATCTGAAGGTAAGCTTCCAAAAATTACTAGTCACACATGAAAATTGAGGCCTGTTTTCTCTCCGTGAAAGCAAAAGGGAAACTGAAAGCCCTCTAAGCTCCTTTCAAAGAAGCTTTGAATGAAAAGATCTTCAGCATTTCTTATTACACTTACAGCATTGTCAAAGGGGTTGTGCTTTTGAAGTATCTGATGTACCCTTAAAGGCAAATGTAATTTCTAGATGCAGTGTGCTTAAAATGCATTTGAAAATGGGTTACTGGGAGGGCTCTGRTCCTTTGCCCTGAAAATAAATGTTAATGCAGTGTTATTTGCAGCTTTTATTGCCACAAGAATCCCAGACTTCCAATAATTTTGAAAACAGCACTTTTTACAATACAAGATGAAATGTTAAATGTCTCAGTCTAAGCTGCCACACATGGGGAGAAACCCCCACATTTTCAAATATAATAACTATTACTTTTATATTCACAATAGTTAAATAAATTTTGCCCATGTAGGTATTAATATCAGTAATTGCTTTGCCATGCAGCAAATTGCAGTGTATGGCTTGTTTCATACCCATAAATTTTTCTATGGGAATAGCTCATTATTTTGAACAAATGCTCCAGAACAGCATATATATGGATTTGACTTGTTTTGGTTTGGGGTTTTTTGGKTTTTTTTTTTTCTTTACCAGCTTGCTGCAAAAAAGTAAATATAATGGGCTTCTCTARTATGAAGTTGTGGTGAAATACATCCCTTAATATTTGGCAAAAAATAACCTTTGCAGCCACACAAACACAACATCATGTCTCCCAATATATTTCAGCTATTTAAAATTATGAGCAGGAGTTCAGTCATTAKTTCCTGTAAGCAGCAAGTCTAATGCATTTTACAAGAAAATCACTGTTACACACAAGCATTATATGCAAGTGTGTTGTAGATTATCTCATGCATTTATTATCTCATAAATTGTGATTCAGCCATTCATGTCASCGCGTGTACCCAGCAATCTGGGGATTTGGGGATTTCAGTTTATCTTTTTGGGAATGCCATGTAACCTTCTGATCTTTATTTGCAATTAYGCCTTTGAGTTTCCCTGGTGAATGGAAGTTGATTTGGACTTTTGTATGAGAACTGTGGYTGTCAGGAAAAGAGCAAAAGCTTCATCAGAGCTCAGCTGTCCAGAAATCCCCAATTGCTGACTGCTGGGCTCGTGTCCATGCACATCTAACACTGGAGCCCTCTTGCATGTGCAAGCAAGGCACCTGCAGAGCACATGGAGCACAGGATGCACCCAGATGTGGTGGGCTGGCAGTGGGAGTGGGGCAGGGTGTGTGAACCCARCAGTTCC